AGTCACCACTCCAAGCTCGCTCCTGTGATTGACTACAATCTCATGTTTAGTTTAATATTTTGTATTGACATTGTAGTCCATCACAGGAGTGAGCTTGGAGCGGTGACTACTTTACAACACACAGGGACCATGGGGAACGGAAGTAGTCCCCCTCCAGAAGGAAGGACAGTGTCAGCACCAATTCAGAGATGATTTGAGGATCTACAGCCGAGTGATACACAAATAAGATACATTTTTGTGAATAGTTAAAAGAGAACTATGAGGTGAGTGTTTTTCCCCACAGTTCTCTTAAGTACTATGAGGATGAGTGGAAATCACTCACCTCATAGTTCTCCTTTAACCTCCCTGGCGGTCTGATCATTTCACGACACAGCGGGGCTCGTGGACAAGGTAAGTAATGCTACGCTGTAATCCGGAGTGTGGCTCGGGGTTACCGCTTATGGTCCTGAAAATTAACCCCGAGCCACACTCGGGATTACCGCCAAGGAGGTTAAGGGACTTGAATGTATTTTTAGGATTTAACCCCGGAGTGTAGTGTCACTTTAAGAAGAGTGAAATATAAAAGGAAATATGTGGAGAGATAATTGGGTCGCCCCGCCACTAGACATTTCTTCCCCCATAATATAAATCTGCAAAAAGGAGGCAGTGCTGGAGAAAAAAAAAGAAAAAGTCAGGTGCTCGGCAGCAAAACACAAATGGTTAACATCTGCCTGATGAAACCAGTGACCCAACCCCTCTGGAAAGTGGCTTTCCCTGTTCAGACTGGATCTCTGCCAGCCACAAATGACGTGCCATGTATTCCAGCAAGAACCGGCCTGTACAGAGTGACTTCTAACCCTCTGTGCACACCGAGCCAGCAAACACTGCTACCGTGCATCCAACAGAGGAAACATCACAGCACCCTGCCTCAGGACTCTTCTCAAGAGTACATGTCCAGCCAAAACTTTCTTTTGTAAGTTTTGAATAGCATGGGGAAGCGTTTAAGCCCCTATCAGGAGCCTCTATTACTTTTACTCATCTCTTAGCGTTTCTACCCAGATAAATTCCTCAGCACAGTAGTTTTATTGGTTTGTACTACTTGTCTTGGCAAGCTTGATTTTTCTTCAGACTCCTGTACACCCTAAAGCAAGGGTGGGCAAGTCCATTTAACTACAAATCCCAACATGCCTCTGAGAGTCACGCCTGTAACGGTCAGTCTTGCAATGCCTCATGGGACTTGTAGTTCCGCCACAGCTGGAGGGCCCGGGTTGCCCACTCTTGTCCTAAATGAAGGTAGCGCCCAAATTTACCGATCTACTCATAACATATCATCATCATGTGACCTAGACATCATTTTATGTATTGGCTGTCAGCCATGTCTTACAAGTGTCTAAAAAAACAAAATACGGAACTCAATCGCTTCCTTCCTAAAGCTTCCAGACCCTTGCTGGACATCCCCCTGTGATGATAATGGGGGTGAGTCTGAATATTAAAGATAACATTCTCTTGTCCCCCAGTTCAGAGCAAATGCAGGCCTTCACTTAGTCATTTGCCAGGTCCCTCCACCTTCCACAGAACAGAGATCTGCCTATCTGGCCTGTGATCTTTATTACCCCCCAGCCCTAGTGAAAGTTCCAAATAACCCTCTAAGCCTTTTATAGCTGTCCCTAATTAAAGGTATGCAACCAGGCACTGCTCTGTCACCAGTGGACAAGTTGATAAACACAAGCAAGTCTGGTAGAGGTAATGACCCAGGTGACCCGGCATTCGCCCGAAATTCATAAACCCGAGTACAATATCAGCTCCATCTCATCATTTGGAATTGGGCGGTGATAGTGTAAAATAAAGGTTCGTCCCTCCTGCTTTCCATCTCCAGCCCTGCCCTAGGGGGCCAGCTCCGTGACACAGCCTAGAGGGCTAACAAAAGATGTCAAGGCAACTATTGGGGGTCTCAGTTTCATCAAGAAAGGATACCCAAACTGACTACCTTGATACCTCCGTAGGCACGGCCCTGCCTTGCATTCAGAACATCTTCATGCAGTGGTGCCCCTAGCCTTTTTGCGCCTGAGGCAGATGCAGGGGGGTGCTAAATGGTGTGTGTGTGTACGCGTGCGAGATGGGGGGTGCTGGTGAATAGTGACGCCACTAAGAGCCTGGAGCAGAGATGTGTAAGGGCTCTGCATCTCCCCGTCCAGCTCTTAGCAACCTGGTGCGTTCTGGCCGGCGTCCTGCCAAGCTCTTGCCAACCAGTGTCGTCAATGAAATATCGGTCCTGAAATGTCACTTCTATCCAACTTTGTGGAATGTGAGATCGCAGTCACAGAGTCGGATAGAAGTGACATTTCAGGACCGATCAGCTGTTCCAGGGCAGATCGGTTCTCCTGCACATTCCATCTGCGATGCCGATCTGCCCGGGAACAGCTGACAAAGCCTTGGAATTCTTCACCTTTTGCTAGTCACATATTCCACCGCCGAAAAAGTGGCCGGGATTACGTTAAAATCTGTGACCACGTGGCCGGTCACACATTCCAACGCAGTCACAAACTTTGATAGAACACTGGCTCCATGCTATCAGAAGCACCGTTATGGGCGAGTACCGAAATATAAATATCGATACCCGTACTCGATACAGAAAAAACGGTATAGTTGCATCCCTAGTCATCATCATCAATACCTGTTGTGTCTCATATTCTCACTCTTTGGACTCTCTTCCTTCTAGATCTCACCTGGAGTTAGTATTTCACATCTTTTTACTCTTGTATAACATGGGGCAATATACTGGTGCTATAAAAAGTCTCAAACCTCATCCCTACATTCCTATAGACATGGAGTACAAAAGGACATTCATGGGAAGATAAAGCCGCTAGGCCTCCCCATGTCAGCCCGCAGAACTGCAACCTTTGCCTCTAAAAGATTATGTTCTCAGAGAGAAGGCCAAAAGGTGCAATAACCTATATATGACCCTCTGACAAAGGTCGATGAACACCGTGTACGATCAGAAGGGCAGGAGACACGGACAGTGTCAGAATAACTCCTCGATAACAATTGCATCTGTCAATGAAAAGACAGTCGCAGCTCTTTCCCCCTCAGGCTCATAAGCAGATATACAAAGGTTCCGATGTCCCGGGTGTTCTATGTTGTAAAGGTGTGACACAACAGGAGAGGCACAGCTTTTATCTCTGAACAATGCTTCTACAGACACGCAGAGCACAGGCATGCAGATCAAGCTGGCCGTACACTCTTAGGATTTCGGCCAATTCCTGTGAATCATCCAAAATTCTAGCATGGAGAGGCCCTGCAGGTTCGACAAAAGTCAACTACTCCATTGCTATCCAGCTGCAGTCAGTATTCGAGTATTCTGAGAGCAGCGGGTGCCAGCTGTCAGAATACAAAAGCCTGGCTGGGGGGTGGTTGTGGGGCTTGGATTCTTCTATCTATACTATTAATCACTGATGGAGGAACCCGTTAGATTTTAAATTCGTTCAGCTTGAACAAAATCTTAGTGTATGGCCAGCTTTAAGCTGCCACATCCTTCAAAAAATCGTGACTCATGAAAACCAGTGTGCAGTAAAACGTTTTTTTCCCTCTTCCTACCTCTTAAAGGGGGTTCTACCATTATTAGAAGTGTCCTCTACCTATCTCTTAAAGTGGACATTTCCCCTTATCTTTAAAATAGCAACAAACACACCTTTAGAAATGTTTAGTAATGACAATCTACAAACACAGATACTTCTAGATCATTGCCGGCTTTGTATTCTTTGCACCTGATTTCTCTTTTCTTCCCCAGTCTTCTGACAGTGGCCATGTTTACTAAGGGCAGAGTACTAGCTCTCCTATTACCTTTGCGGTGTGAACAGGCCCTAAAGGTGTGTTTACCATCATTAAAGTGAAACTAAACTCAGGCGTTAAATCTAAAAAATGCATCCAAGTACCTTAACTATGAACAAAAATGTATCTTATTTGTGTATCACTGGGCTGTAGATCCTCCAATCATCTCTGAATTGGTGCCGACACTGTCCTTCCTTCTGGAGGGCGGCTACTTTTGTTCTTCATGGTCCCTGTGGGTGTTGTAATGTAGTCACCACTCCAAACTTGCTCCCGTGATGGACTACAACCTCATGTTTTGTTTACTCATTTGTCTTGAGATTGTAGTCCATCACAGGAGTGCGCTTTTAAGGTGCCCGCTACCTACCTCCTAAAGGGGTTTTTACCATTAATAAAAGTGCCCTCTGCCTTTGTTATGCTCTGATATATGACATTTACTAGAACACAAAAGCATATTCAAAAGAATTTAAAGAATTTAAAAAAGGGTTAAAATTGGGCCCCCCTTTAAGTCCGAGGAAAGAAAAAGTGAGGGTATTAACCACAACAACCGATGAGACAATTCTATGAAATAAACTAGCTACCACAGGCCATAAATCCATTCCCCTTCCCCAGATCGCACTGTACGTCATCTATTTCCAAGGTATTTGGTATAAAGCAGGGGTATCCATACTCCGGCCCTCCAGCTATTGTGAAACTACAAGTCCCATGTGGCATTGCAAGACTGACAGCCACAGGCATGACTTCCAGAAGCAGAAGCATAACGGCATTTGTAGATTCACCACAGCCGAAGGGCCGAAGTTTGACTAGCCCTGGTATAAAGTATCTCTATAGCAAAGCAGCAAAAACCGAATAGGCTAATGTTTTGATGTTGGTCTCTAACCACGGTCCCTAGACACCAGCAGCCACAGAGAGCAGAGATATCATATGACAGCTTCGTTATAAATGAGGACCAGACAGCTGAAATCCTATAAAGCCCGATGTACATGACTGCAATGATCCATAAACCAGAATCCAGGGCTTCTGCCAATCGGCCAGGGGGGGTCTGTATCCACCAAGATCTCCTCAATGCAGCAGATAAGCCAGGCACATTAAAAGCCTCTTCCTCCGGCGGTCTAATATCCAGGCATTCTTCGTGGATGTCAGCGTTGCTCTATAGGCAGAAAGCAGTCACAAGACCACTCGGTTCCCCTCCTTACCTTATGTACACTCTTGGGGTTCTCCAGCCATGCATAGTACATTTCCTCCACATAGTTAGAACTAGTCCCACTGAGAAAAGGCTCGGCGGCCCCAGGTGTGCTAAGACACCTGATTTGCTGAAACGTCCTTCGGATAACAGGCTGTTTGTGTGACAGTGATCGTACAGTCTGAGAGGCCGTCAATGGCCTAAGCTTAGCAGCACAAGTCCTTAAATGAAACATATTTCTGTCCTTGTGGGAGACCGATTACCAGAACCTAGGAGAAGAAAAAAAAAAAAAGAGCCATTAGAATCTGATCTGTGCACTTGCGGCATTATGAAGAGCAACACAAACACTTATCATGATCTCAGCCGAGCTGTAAAATCCTTTCTATGTGCAGCCACATTGTAGGTCGGGTTGGGCACCTCCGGCCCTCCAGCTGTGGTGGAACCACACGTCCCATGAGGCATTGCAACACTGACAGCCACGACTCCCAGAGGCAGCAGCATGTTGGGATTTGTAGTTAAAGCACAGCTGGAGGGGCAGAGTTGCCCACCCCTGTTCTAGGTTATCAGTGTACCCCCAAGTAAAGGTGCCGACAAACATTAGATGGCCACCATGCAAGCAAGGTTTAGCAGCCAAAAGAATGCATATACAAGGGATCGGTAAACAAACGAGGTGGAGGTGCTGCAGTTACTGTTTGGGTATGGTGAAAGCGGAATGCGCCAGCTGTCTAAATATAAGCTGGCACGGGAGATTCCTCCATTATTGTTCTGAACGTGGATGGGGGAATCAAGTGGTTAGGTATCAGGCCCTTTTCACACAGGGGGTCTGATCGGGTCCGCCTGCCAGTTTTGCAGGCAGACCTAATCGGATGGCCAAAGCTAGTCAATGGGCAGCCATGTATAAACGGATGGGTGTCTGTTTACTCCCGGTTGCCCCCCGACTACGGCCAGGTCCGGAAAAACAAATGGAACCGTTTTCTGTTTCGACGGACCCGATTGTGCCGGATCGGGGGTTGCCTGATGTAAACGGACACATGCCCATTTACATCCGGTTCCCCATAGGCCGACATGAGCTCCAGTCATTTCAGTTGTGTAGGAAAAAACTGGATGGACACTTTTGTGACATTTGCTCCGTCCTGCTCTGATTAGTGATGGGCTCGAACGTGTTCGCAGCTCCATGTGCCGATCCCGCCAGCGCCGCAGCGCTAATCACAGGCACTGAGACATTTCCCGATCTCTGCAGCTGTGGACCGGGATAATGTCTCAGTACCTGCGATTGGCGCTGCCAGCTTCCTGGCGGGCTCGGCACGTGGAGCATGCAAACACGCCCGAGCCCATCACTAGCTCTGATCAGGAAGGGGATCCATGCACAGATATCCTCCTGATCAGCCCGTGTGAAAGGGGCCCTTACTTTAATGAAAGCAGCAGATGCACATTATTACATAAACTGGACGTACGAGGATCGAATGATTAAGTAAACTAAATGTCATACAAACAGGGCTCACCTCGACTTTCTTCTCATAGCACTTGTAATAAACCGTGTTTGCAATGCAATGGCGTTCTGTTATTATCAAATTATGTGGCTTTTGTCGTTACTGCAAACTGTTGAGCTATACCTGCAATCCCGTACACGGCGCCAACAGCGTGCACAGCACTTTTGTTTTTACAATAGCATCAAACCATGAATACGCCAGAATGCACGGTATAAACAGTATACAATAAAAGGTGGTAAAGCCCTTCATCTATACAGCAGTACAGGATAAACGTTCAGCTCCAACTGCAGACCCATCATCAGCTACAAAGCACAAATGAAGGGGGGCCGACCGATGGGTTGGGGTTAGTTTATTCAGATTGCACATTTCTCTATTGCTATGACGGTTAGACTATTTTATATATTTGTATATACTATTTGTATATAAAGTGTCACCGGCACACTGCAATGTTTTATTTGACACCAAGGATTGCGTTCACTTTAACTGTGTAGTAGAATGCTACTGAACACTGTTGAGCCTTTGGCCCCATGTAAGCGTCAAACAAATTAATTTGTGCCTTGCTGATACTCTCCTATTACTTCCCAGGACAAAGTAAGAAAAGATGGGAAATATTTATAGAAATAGAACCGCTGTCACTAAACGGTGGACCATAGTATGGACTCGGACCGATTGGTGGTTCTGTCCAGACTACGATCGCCGACCTGTGCTGGCTGACAGTCGATACACCAGCCTTCGAGGCCAATGTTTCCACTGCCGGCCATAACCCAGCGCAGGCCCTCCCAACGCTTCAATCACTGGTTGCTAGGACCGCTGGCTTCCTAGCAACCAATGACATCAGCCACCCAGATTACCTGTACTAGTCTGCTGTTGTGGCCGGTCTGTCTGGACCGCAATTTGGACCTCAGCTCAATGGAAATTTTATTCACTGGACCTCCTTGAATTTTAATTCACTACCCCTGGAATAAAAGATCATAAATAAACAAGCAGCCATTAGCCCATAAACAATAGAGGGAGGTTGGAAATGACGGCATTACTCTGCTAGTCGTGGATTTCCATCTTCTAGGTAGACATAGATGGTCTTCATCATGCGTCTGTTCATGTTCAGCCTGTGAGGAAGAGTGGAGTAGACACTCTGTAGCCACCTACACCACCAACTGATGACATGAAACCAACGGGGACCCGAGAAGGTTTTCCAACCTGTCCGTTCACTACTTCCCTAGGCAAACTGCAGCCCTCCAGCTGTGGTAAAACTACAAATCCCATCATGTTCCTTGGTAGGTACTAGGATCAGGACCCGGACTGCCTGCTCAGAGACAGTCTGAAAGCAGAAGAATATGAAGATAGGGGTATAGCGCAGGGGTAGCTAAACTTTGGCCCTCCGGCTGTGGTGACACAACAAATTCCTCTGGGAGTTATGCCTGTGGCTGTCAAGTCTTGCAATGCCCCATGGGATGTGTAGTTCCACCACAGCTGGAGGGCCAGAGTTTGCTAGGATGAGCCTTGGCCAGTGGCCTCCCATAGACCTCAGATGATTGCCTGCTCTAGTTGAATCAGCAAATTGTCACCCAACGTCTATGGGCACCTTTACATTCCACTGTATTATTTGTTGGTATCAGCTCCTGTGCTATGTACAGTGTAGTCCAGTTCTGATTCCACATTGCCATCGTTTTTATGGATAAAATCTGCAAGAATAAACAAAGTCTTCGTGCTGACAGTGATTTTGGATATTTGCCGTCTTGCTGTCACGCCTTTCTGAAACGTTGACATGCTAAATTGATTCAAATGCATTCCAAGCGTGTCATTGTAATGAATGGAGATCACCATTCCCATCATTCCACCACGTTTCAGAGAACGCTCTGTGGTGTGGCAAGGGAAGGTCATTGTACTTATTTACACATTTATTGTGGATTCACACCATAGCGTTGCGTTAATCGCACAATTCCGGTATGGTCCTACCATGCGTTATAGTGCAGGGGATGCATTGTGCTGACATTCACTTGAATGGCACCCCAAGAGCACCTCCGGCCGCATTGTGTCTGACCACCCCGCAATGCACGGTAGGTGTGCTGTGCAGTAGCATGCGATTAACGCAACACTATGACGTCAATCCAACCTTAACGTGATTCTAGGTTTGTTTTGGGGTGAATTACTTTATCATAGCTCCTTTCCTATGTCCTGTAGGTATTGAGAGTGAGTGCTAAGTGGGGAGGTCTGCCTACTACAATCAAATATTCAAGTTTATATAAACCCCAAAAACAAACTTTATTTCATGTTAAATATGCCATGGGAATAATTTTGTTGCGCCTGATAACAGTTAAGAATACTTGATGATAGTTTCAAAAATGCATCCCTTTCACGTGGGAGGATGGGCAAGAAGTCACATGATCTCCATACCAGAAAGTACCAGGGAGTGTGCTCTGCTTCCACTCACCGTAGGAAACGACTGGGGAACAAAGGTGAGGATAGGCCTCTAGTGGGGGTCACCCTTAACCCTGTCAAAGCAGAACTCCGGGCAGAATTTTTCTTAAAGAAGAACTATGGGGTAAGTGTTTTTCCCAATAGTTCTCTTAAGGGTCACAGGAGGACAAAAACTAGCTTCCTCTCGTGACCCAAAGCTCAGTATATAGCCAGCTACAGCTTGCGATATACTGAGACCGCCGCAGCCGGGACGGATCCCAACAATACTGGCGAGATCCACCCAGCTGCGTGAGTGACAGCTGGCTCTGCCTTTCTAGAGGCTGAGCCAGCTGTACCCGCCCCCTGCCCCGTCCGATCCGCCAGTCAGCGCTGGAGGATTGGAGCGGGGAGGGGGATCCCTAACAGTCACGGCTCTGTTAGGGATCAGGGAGATGATCGAGAAGTGAGCGAACGCCGGTATGTGTTCGCTCACCTCCCGATCTACTGAGCCGACCTGTGACAGTTTAATTGTCACACGTCGGCTCTAACTATGAGGGTGAGTGGAAATCACTCACCTCATAGTTCTCCTTTAACCCTTGCAGTGCACGTTTCTGTCTAGGTTCAAAAAGAACAAAGTATACTCACCCAATCCAGTGAGCCGGCTTGCTCTTAGACCGGTCCCTGGAGCCTCTTTCCCCCTCTGCTGCAGCAGTTTAAGGATCCTTGAATCATTTCATTCTACACACAGTGTATTGGACGTGAGGAGGCCGAGTGACCTCCCATTGCTGCAGCGAAGGAGGACAGAGGCTTCAGGGGCCGGCATAAAAAGCAGCCAGCTCAGAGGCTCGGGTGAGTAAAGCTTTTTATTTTTTAACCGAGACACACACACACAAAAAAAGCACTTAACCCTTGCACTGCAAGGGTTAAGAATAATTATTCCTGGAGTTCTGCTTTAAAACACTATCAGCCGACTCTGTAAAGCCGCCCAATCACTTCCCCATACAATAAAATGTAGCACCCTCCCCCACCCAGCTGAATGATCCCGAAAGTGACAAGCATTAAGTCAGGTCTGGTTTCATCGCTGCTTCAGCGGCCAGGAAAGAAGCTAATTAAGTGCAAGCTGTGCTTAATTACCTTCAGTGGAGTGCAGGGGAGACATCAGGGGTCTAATAGCCATCTGATGTGTCATGAAAGAGAACCTGTAAAAAGATAGACACTGGCACCCCAAGGCAAATCCAGTAGGTCAGTTTATTCACGTACTTGTTTGCCTGATGAAGGGGATCCTGCGAGACCCCGAAACGTTGTATTTAGTGTTTTTGAATATGCAACAAGTACGTGAATAAACAGTCGTACTTGATTTGCCTTGGAGTGCCAGGGTCTAT